CCCAGGTTCTTGAACATGAAATGATTCCCATCATCTGTCCTAATGTTATCGCATAATCATATTAGGTAAATGCCAATAGGTCACTTGCTAATCTTAGAGGACGATGATGACCACTGGTCAAAGTATCCTGTTCATTTTCTGATGCCCCTGTGAGAGAACTAAAAGGTAACAATAACAATATTTTAAAATCTTATGTGGTTTTTTGCCCCCCTACTTCCCTTGTATCTAACATTCATATCCATAAATTACCATAAACGTTGTAGATCTGACAAATCCCGTCTAAAATTCGAAACTTTCCCTGTCGAAGTCGATCGTGTGATTTAATTAAGCACGCGAATAAGTATTATATGCACCGAAGCTTTTATGGACTAGGCACAACAATTTCTAACAAATTTACTTGCAAACTCAATGGATATAAATAACGATTATTAATCTAGCAATTAGCAGCAAAAGCGACAGTAAATATGATTTTTGGTTCAAACGAACTTAAGTGAATATTACATATTAGGCATTGTTTCTACGATTGATTTTTAGATCCTAATCATTAGATTATGCTCCGGACCTTGCGTCGTTTTGATGCCCGTAAATCGTCATGCTCCATTCATAGATTGTAAACGAGGTGATAAAGCGATATCCTGGTAATTTCTTCGAAATGTATTCAAGACCCTCGAATCCATGCCTCCTTCCTAGTTCCTATTAGTCTGTACCATTAACCGCTAAGACATGCTGCCTTGAGGAGCACTGCCCACACTGACAAACGATATCCGACTTTTCCACTACTGGTAACAGATTTTCGTGCCTACTGTGGCGACCTGGGGACCATTCGCAATGTCGAAGTTTTATTTGCAATGGAATTCCGTACTTTCGGCAATGGTAACGTCATGGAATAATGAAGTACGTTCGAATGCAGGCTTTGTAGTCTTTGCCGATGGCATTTGCAGTATATATCGAACTGTTGTAGTGCGGTTTCGTGGTAGTGACAGCTAGATATTCGATTCCCAGGGTTCCTCGGATTGCCGAGCTACGAACTCGTCGAGACACGCAATTGCTGGGATTTTCTACTCGAATCATGTTTCGACTGGATCATAGCTTGAGTTGCGTTTTACGATTGTTGCCACAGATGAGTACACGGGAGGAACTAAAACCCTAATCGGAGTAATCGAAACATTAAATAATTTTTTAAATTTTGATTTATTTTGGAACGTTGTCTTGTCGAGCATTCGACCTGAATATCGAACCTTTTTTCTTCAGTAACTGCAGATCCATGGGAATGAGTTATGTGCACGCTGCTGTAGTTTATTCGGTCGCCTCCGATCAACGCCGTTTCGCCAGCTGTCGGTCGTCTATTTATTTGTTAACAGACCTGGTGCTTGGCATATGGAATTGATAAGTTGAACTTAAGTCAACAGAAGGTTCGATCAGCGTACGGTATTCTCGTACTTCAAACTACAAAATGAATCATCCTTTATGCGAATGAAATGGCAGACCATATGGCAACTAAGAAATTTATGTTATTCATCTAGATGGCTGTCGTTACAGTATGATCTTCCACTGACCGGATCGTAACGATGTATAATTTTTTAAATTGAATAATTAGAATTAAATTTCGTATGGATTAATTTGGCCAGTATATATGAGTCATAAACAAGCTATCGCGCATCATAAATCTTACTGATAATAACATGGAGTAATAATTCGGAATAATTAATTTAAATGTAAATTGACAAATGGCGATTTTCAACACAGAAGGAACTGCTTTTCGGTAACGGGTGACTTTCTCCTGAACGAAATCTTTAACCTGTGCCGCCGTTCACCAAAGATGCTAAACAGTTTGTAGCAGCTGCTTTAAACCTTTACAACCTACACTTCGTACTTCCTTAAATAATTGAGTTCATCATGTGATGATTCTCATGCATGTTTTTTATACCGATGCCGCAGTGTCGTTTGCACAGCTTTCATTGCCATAAAACGCGTTCGTCCGACAAACGGTTGATTCGAATTTGTGGAACAGCTAGTTTTTTCGAGTAAAATTCCAGATTTCACTCTAACGCGTTATAGT